TATGTGTGACAGTTGAACGCATTTTTCTAAAAAGAACAAGATATATACAGTTCAGCTTTAAATGGCAACCTTCCTTTTAGCCAAACACTACATAGGTACATAACCTCATGTCATTAATATGACTATATGTCTATGCACAAGGTACAATGACAGTGGATGATTAAAATGAGACAAGCCTAACAAACAGCTTTATAACAACTCGCCCGCCCATAGGAAGGAAGAAAGAAAAAAAACTACCATACACATTTAACTAACACAGGAAACCTCTGAGAATGACGGCAACCCCAACTATACACGCTACTAGAAATAGTAATACACTGACCAAGTGACCTCTTCCATAACTGGAGACCGCAAAGAGAATCTAGTCTTTTGAAAAGATATTTTCTGCAACTAATGATTATTAGTTGCATATAGCGTGTATGCATGTAAATCTACATGTGTATGAGTATGGATGAGTCCATGTGTCAACTTCTTCTCAAGTGTACCTGTACCCCTGTATGTTGCGGTCTCTTAGAAAATTGTCCAAATGCTTTTTGAATGATTCAACACTCTTAGCGGAGATCACTGCATGTGGCAGCGAGTTCCATACCCTGACCGTTCTTACTGTGTTGAAGCCCCTTGTGATTACATTTTTTTCCCATTAGTTTTAGATGGTGGCCTCCAGTCTTTGTTTAAGAGTTTATTGCTGATGTTGCCATCACCATTGAACATCTTGTACAAGAAAACCATATGCCCCCTATCAAATGCTTTTTGAATGATTCAACACTCTTAGCGGAGATCACTGCATGTGGCAGCGAGTTCCATACCCTGACCGTTCTTACTGTGTTGAAGCCCCTTGTGATTACATTTTTTTCCCATTAGTTTTAGATGGTGGCCTCCAGTCTTTGTTTAAGAGTTTATTGCTGATGTTGCCATCACCATTGAACATCTTGTACAAGAAAACCATATGCCCCCTAAATCTCCTTACTTCCAGCGTGAACATGTTTAGATTTAGTAACTTTGTCTCATAGCTTTGGTCCTCCATCCCCTTAACCTCTTGCCATCCGCCCGTAGTAAAAAAAACGGACGGACGGCACTGCTGCATTTGCGGGTACACCGACGCCCACCCC